AGAACTGTTTTTACTGATGAAACTTCATTTCAATTGTTTCGTAATACAGTACAATATTGGTACAAAGAAAAACGTCCAGTACAACGAGTCCCAAAAGATAAAAGAAAAATTTTTTCCTGGGAAGGTTTTTGGTCAAGAGGAAAAATGAGCCTTTTAGTTTTCAATGAATTATAAATGGTTCATTTTATGTGGAAATCTTAGAGAAACACTTTCCTGAAATTCGAAAAATGCTTGGGAACCGTTGGCAATTTCAACAAGACAACAATCCAAGCATACAAGTCGAGTTGCAAAAGAATTTCTAGCAAAGAATGTACCGATAGTAATCGATTGGCTGTCTAATAGTCCCGATTTCAACCCAATAGAAAATTTGTGGAGTATAGTTAAAGGAAAGGTTGAAAAACGTTGGCCAAAAAATTTAATTGAATTAGAGCAGTTTATGGTAGAAGAATGGGAAAAAATCCCAGTAAGTATTTTAGCAAACTTGGTGGGATCCATGAAAGAATGATGCAAACTTGTAATTGAAAAAAATGGGGAACGTATCCCATATTAAATGTATTAAATTTTTTTTTAAATAAATCTTTAATCAATCAGCTTTCTAATGAGCCATTGTACATGCGATGTGACGCAGTAGTTTTTGAATTATTAACACGTGAAGTTGTCCAAAGACTTTTTTACTGCACTGTATATTGTTAATAATGAAGTAATTGTAAAAAAAAAATTTCTTTTTCAATAAAAATGGTTTAAATAATATTAATACTTTGAAGTTAATTTCATTAAACACATAAAATAATTTATCATTATCTCATTTATCTCATGAAAAAAGAATTAACTTTCTCATATCTAAAATGTAATTCTCATAAGATTTATCTTTGAATATAAGAATATAAGGTGTATTAAATATTTATAAAACCAAATACTTGATTAATACTATTTAGTAAATGTAAGATTTTAATTTTTTATATTTCTAATTTTTTTCAGGGAACATTGTAAATTCACAATTTATTATTTCTTTTTGAAATGTCATTAGGAAATAATAAAAACTTGTAAAAAAAAAATTCTAATTTTAATTACTAGTAACACTATAGATCACAAAAAAAAAAATGAAAACATGCAATAAGAATTTTAATCCTGAAATATTAATGGTTCACTCTTTTGAAGCATGCCCCATAGAATTTATCCATAGAATATATATAATATGACTAAAAATGCTCCCAGACTAAACATTTAATAGTTTTCTTTAATGTACACACTCTTCACCTCATTGGCAAAAAAATATTTTATTATTTATTTCTAAACAATCCAACAATGAAATAAACAGAAACAAACAGAAATAAACAGAAATAAACTAATAAATAGGATGAACGCAGTAAATTAAATTAAAAAAAAATCTCATTAACTATCATTTATATTTATGCATCTATTTAAAAAAAAAACGTCTACAAATAAGATATATTTGTTATATTTGATATTACTAAAGATTATAATGAATATAATGAACAAAAGACTCTGTCACCCCTTCTCATTCTCCCTTTTTTCAGATATAATAGATATTCAATAATTGTCAATATTGTAATTTTTCAAAATATTTAATAAATATTTTGATATATTTTTATACTCTTTATTAATACTTTTATATACGTTTATATACTTTACATCACTTTATTTAGTCTATTTATCTTTGTTAGATATATTATAATAGTATTATAGCTATTATATAAACGATTATATAAACTATTATATAAACTATCATAAACATATTATAAACTATTGATTTAATTGCTTACTCCAAATAAAAACTCTTTCAAACTATTTCTTATTTATGCTTCCCTGTGTACATACATCGTACACATTATATTATACACTATATTATAACCACACTATAACTAACTACACTATATTTTATACTATTCTACAAGTATTCTTCTATAACATATACACATAATTTACTTATATGTGCATTCAATTGACAGCCTCAAATTTAAAAGTAGAGTTTATCTCAACTCTATTTGGAATATTTGACATTTGTATTACATGGTTACAAACAGTATACAAACAGGTTTTTATACCGTTGATTTTCTTCTTTCGTTACTATTTCCAAGGCAAAAAAAAGAAAAACACCACAAACACGCATTCCGAACGATTTCTCTCTCTGTGTCCCATCATCTATGCGCGTAACACAACAGTTGGATCTCAAGGAAAAAGGGCCCGAAATTTATTTGACGAATAAAATTAATAAAAAACAGCTGTAAAATTATTCATCAACTTTCTTCCTCACACAAACGACCAATGTTTCAACTGTCGCTTTGTTGAGACGTCTGGATATCCTTTATTCCTTTCTTATTAATACTACTATCTATCTATCAACTAAAGTCCTAAAAGTTCCTCTTTGTAATTTTTTAAATTTTATTTTAAACTTTAAAAAAATATTTTTTCACGAATAACGTTATATACACATTAAAGGATCTCAATCAAATCTTTGTCACGTTCTCTCAAATATATCGCTTCCCTTTGTTTCAAAAAATAATCCAGCATCTTTTATTTATTAAAACTGCTCTTAGGTTTCGTGGTTAGTAGTAGTGAAAACAAGTGCGATATTTATAAATTATTATTCCTTTATTGTGCTCGAAATTTACGTTTTTTTTTTTGGCGGTCTTATTTTTTTTTTTTTTTATTACTTCGCATTTCATTATTATATCTCTACTATAAAATTTTATAATTTTACCAGATTTTTAGAGACTCTCTTAATAAAAATAAACACGATATTTCTTCAATCAAAGGCTTTTTTTTTGTTGCCACACATCCCTATTCCCTTACCCCTCTTCGCCCCCTGCACTCAAAATCAACCTCTCCCCCACTTTTTCTTGAAACTGTGGTGTACAAATCTGTTGTTATTTTTGTTAAATATAAAAAAACTGGTTTATTAATATTTTTTTTTTTTGATATATAAATTATATTTATATATATATATATATATATGTATATAATTTTATATGTATATAGATAGATATATATATGAGATATATTAAAATCCAAATTGAAAATTGAAAAATATATTTGAAATATTTACCAGGTACTGTAAATATTAATTACAAAAGATAAATATCTAAAAAAAGTCGTCGCACAAGCCCGTTCTGTACGCATATAAAACAAACATCCCCCCGTTGACAAAGACAACCTCAAATCGTCATTTCCTTCCTTCCTGAATAATAAAACTTTTTCTTTAACCTTTTTATCGCTTACAATAAAATAATTCCTTCACAATTTTTTTTTAAGTCGCGTCAAAAATAATTTCTTCCATTCTCCTTTTGTTGCAAAATAATTAATACATAAAACCGTACATAATCAAATTTTTTTTAACGTAATACACAATTTTATTTGATAATATTGGATAATATTGGATAATATTGGATAATATTGGATAATAATAATAATAATAATAATAATAATAATAACAATAACAACAAGAAGAAGAAGATAAGAAACCATGAGTATCGAACCAACATTTCGAGGATATATCGAAACAACTCAAGATACTCTTCTCATTTTTGAAGCATGTAGAAGAATGATGCTTACAAGAATATGCCGACGCCTTCAAGAGAAAGAACGTAAGATTGTATCATCAGGAAGCGTGTTTGTTTTTGATGAACGCGAATCAGGAATAAAACGTTGGACAGATGGTTTAGTATGGAGTCCATCACGAATTCTTGGAAACTTTCTTATTTATCGTGAGCTGGACAAACGAGCACCAGCCGGAAAGAAGGATTCATCACCAGTCGAAAGACAACGTAGTAATAGCACAGATATGGAATCCCAAGCGGAGAAAAATAAGGAACGCGCCCTTGTTGGTAGTCTCACAAATTCATATCGTTTCAAAAAAGGAGGTTTAATTAAAAAAACAATGTCCATTATGGTTAATGGAGTCAGTCAACATATGATAAGTTATTATACGAAAGAAGATGTAATGGCATGTAAACTCAAAACACCTTCTTCAATACCCTCCTTAGCTATTCTTGAGATTGCACCAGAATTTTTGTTGAAACAAAATTTCAGGATACCACCGGTAATTGAGTCGACTTACGAACAAGGTGAACAAAACTCACCAAGTATGGTTTTTTGTAAAAAAAAAGAGAAAGAAATAGAATAAATTTTAAAATCATTATTAACTAACTAAACTAAACAAACAAACAAATATAATAAAATAAATATATTATTAACAATTTTTTTTTATTTTTGTTGGCTAAATTAACTAAACAAAAAAAATTTTTTTTTTTTTAATTAAATAAAAATAAATAATAGAATTAGATGGAATGTCCTACGGTAAACAACAAGCAACAATTTCTACTTCACCACACGCAATTCTTCCAAAACCTGGAGGAGGAATAGGAGTAGGAGTAGGAGGAGGAGGAATAGTAGGAGGAGGAGGTATAGTAAGCCCATCACGATTAATAAGTATGGAATTTTCACCATCTCGTATAAAGATGGAAATGGAAAATTCCACAACTAATGTTGAAATTTATCGATCTACACCAACATATTATTCAGCTGGTACATCAAATTCAACATCTAATTATCCAGCAACGATGCATCATCCAACTCATTATGCATCAACTTATGGAACTCAAGGACATCATCATACAACAATTTCAAATGGAATTATAGATGGAACACATTCCACAACTTTACCTATGCCACCACCGATTCGTTCCTTTATGAATAATCGTCCATATCATCATGATTTTCCTCCTCTTAATGCTTCACATATTAACACTTCCGCTACATCACGATTAACAACATCACATCCAAATGAGTATAATAATTATTATCATTCATCATCACAAAATAATAATAATAATAATAACAACAACAACAACAACAATAATAATAATAATAATAACAATAATAATAATAATAATAATTCTAATAATAATTCTAATGTAGGAAATTGGTCAGATTATCAACAACAATATTCATCTTATTCGTCAACCAATAATAACAACAATAATAATAATAATAATAATAATAACAATAATAATCTCAATAATCTCAATAATAATGTTAATAATAATATTAATAACCTCAATAATAATATTAACAATAATCCCACAACAACAACAACAACGAATAATCTTCATCATAATCAACATCAAACACAACATGCAAATAATACGAATATAACAAATACATCAAATCCATCAACAACAACAACAACAACGAATGAAATGTTTTATGCGAGTAATGACTCAACTGCTGCAACTACTCAAACATTCAATGCCACTATTAATCCTTTATATACTACTGGAAGTCCTTATAACGATTTATCATCTTCAAATATTCCTGATTTATATAATACTTTAAATTCACCTTCATCAACTGCTTCACAATCTCATCATCATGAATCTTTATCTACTACGCCACCTACACTCCCCGCTATTTCATCACCTATTAATACCGCAAGTACTACAAATAATAATAGTTCAAATAATGATCCTGCAACTCCTCTTAGTTCTCCAAATAATACTGCAACTATTGTTAATTCTGGTAATGGAGGAAATTCTAATTTATTTGGATCTAATTATACACAATATTATCAAACACTCATAAAAAATGAAGGTTATCCTTCCGTTTCCGTATCATCTAATAGTTTTATTTATGATCCATATACTACAAATATTAGGAATGATAGTTGGGAAATGAGAAATTAAGAATATTTTATAAAATTAAAAAAAAATTAAAAAAATAATAATAATTATAATAATAATAATTAAAAAAAAATTTCTTTTTTTTAGAATGAATAATAATTCATAAGGACGTGAAATGAGAACAAATGGAACTGCAAAAAAAAAAAAAAAAATTATTAAGTTCGATTCTTTTTTTTGTAATATAGTCAATTTTCCGATGTTTATTTTATTTAACTGGTGTTAAGAGGGCTATCTTTTAGTTCTATTGTTCTTATTTCCTTTTTTTTTTTGTTTTTTATCTTGTATACCCCTTGTAATATTTGTATAGCTTTTTTTTTGTAAAATTTTCTCCTTTTTTCTTAATTTCGTTTTTTTTTTCAAAAAAAAAAACTTAATTCGTATTTTCGTCTTCCAAGATATAAAGGAGAGAATAAAAAATTTTATCTATGGAACATTATCACATTCACGTAAAAAAAAGCAAGAATTCCCTTTCGTTATAATCATTTCAATTAAATACATTTATTTCTTTCAAAATTTTTTATTTCTTTTAAAATAATAATAACAGATAGCATACATCGTGTCGTGATAAAATATCGGGCTTAGTTGAGTATTATTCTCCACGTGATTTTGTCAAGTGATGAATAGCACGTAGCTTTTCATCAAAAAAAAAAAAATTTTTTTATCTTTATTATTTCTTTCGATTAAAAAAAAAAATACAATCAGATTTTTCTTTTTTAAAAGTAAAAATATTAAAATGGGTATTCCGTGCTTACCTTAAAATAAAATAAAATAAATAAATAAACCTTTTTTTTAATAATATAAAATTGTATACGAATCCAAGCGAAAATGCAATAAGATACGCCCAAGTAAACAAATAAATAAATAAATAAATAAAAAATAAATAAAAATAAATATATAAATAATTAAATGATTTGACCAAAAAAGTTTGAGTTGTTTGTTGATTTAAACTGAAACTGAAACTGAAATAAACTGAATGATCCCTTAAATTCTAATACAATTATGGTTTACATAAAGAAATCTTAACGGAGAAATGTTAATAAAAATACATTTACTAAGTATAAAATAAATATTACACACCAAATGTAGTAATCAATTTTTCCGCTATTTTTTTTTTTATTTATTCCTTATAATCGATCAGTTTAAATTAGTAATCTTTAAAGAAATTGAATTATTCGTTCAAATTCTCTTTAAAGAATTACTTTCAAAAAAGAATTAAAGGTCGATTATAATTCCATCACATGATTAAATTGCATAATTTAATAGGTTAATAAAATCTAACATTTTATCATGTTATTATGTTATTAAATAATAATATTACAAATGATAATGTTGTTAATAATTATGTTGGTGAATACAAATAATGAAGCCAAAATTAATAATCGATGATATTTAATTAATTTAATTAATTTTATTTAATTAATTTAATTAATTTAATTAGTATTCGTAAATTGTATATTGTACTCGAAATTGTAATCGATAAATACAAATTAAATTTCCAAATTCCCGGTAAATGGGTTTAAAATATGTTAATAACAATGAATTATTTTTTGTGTTATTGTAATAAAATGATAAAACGCGTTTATATTTTATGTTTGGTAAATGATTTTTTTTTATCTAATCTCCAAAAAAAAAAAATTATAAATAGGTGAATTTGTGGCGTACAATTAATTAAATCTTATTATTTATTTATAATAAATTAACATAACGTCGATGTATAAATCTGAGACATAACGTAATCAATCAATTCCTGAATTAAATAAAATGAATTCATTTTTTTTTTTTTAAAAAAAAAAAAAAAGAGCGCGAACAATTTTAGACGCGTTTACGCGATTTATTATTATTTATAATTATTATATTGATATCAATCCAAATTTAGCTTAAATTAGAGTTTACCTAATTATATATTAGTTTAAAAAACTTCTCTGTAAGAGGGGATGATTTTGTATCCCTCAATTATGCAGGAGACGCAGAGGCCAATCATTTTATAACTCATTTATATGTATATATTATCACTAATTTAAACATACCACAATAAGCAGTAAAGATAAACAAGTAAAGTATAGTAAAGTATAGTATAGTTATTTAAAAGTATAATTATTCAGAGTTTCTCATGCTATTTTTTCAGAACATAAATTAATGTAGATTCTATTTTAAAACCAGTAAAATTTTTATTATTATCGGAGAATGTTGTGTGAAAATGCATGGCAAAAAAAATTTAAAAAATTTACCGGTACATTTTTATTGCATATTTTATGCAAAATAATGGTCGCACTATTGTATACAATAACACAATAACACTACACATAAACATAATTTCTCTTAATTTCTACAATTACAATAGTAGTTTAAAATGTCGAAAGTTGTACTAATACTGCAAGATACTCTCTCACAACTCTCTCACGCACATATTTACCCCCTAAATAAAATCACGCAAGTTAATCCTATCTGAATAAGTATATATCAATTATTTTGGCCTATTATCTTCCGTTTTCAACTGTGAACCATTCACGATAAATTCTTTGATTTCTTCAAAGTATTATGTAGGACTAACAGTGAATTCCTACTGGCTATCCTCCTTTGCTGGGTCACCGTACCCTCTCCTTCCTTTCTCCTTAACTAAGAAATCTATAATTAAAAATTTTTTTTCAATTAATAATGCAGAATATTCTTAACAAACTCGTGTTTATATTTTCAACATTTTATTTAAACCTACAATAATTATATTACATATCATGATTTATATATTATTTTAACAAAAAATTTTGATATCTTCCCGCTAAAATGTTGACACACAACCCATCCTAAATTTGTTCATTATTTTTTTTGGTCATCTATAATCATCTCTAGCATTTCATTTATATTTTATCCTATAAAACATGCAGAAAAATTACTTCTGTTTATTCTGTTTTATAAATTAAATATTATAATAATACTCCCGCACCATTATTAGTCCTAAATTTGGTAATATAATGTTTTAAGCCTTCAATCGTGCACCAAAATTATTTCACAAAAAATTTTTTCTCTGTGTTATTGAACAAACATTAGGGGTATTTTATTTAACAAGATGTTAATCTTTTCTTTTTTTCATAATTTAGCCGAAAAATGATAAATTAGATTTATATTGTAAAATAAATATATTTTTTAAAATATAAGATCTAATATAATCAACATAAAATATCACCATTGTACTATTGTATTACATTACAAAAAACATAAAATGATTCAAGAATTATATTTACTAATAATAAAATAATTATTTCTACATCAGAAATTTCTTTAAAAAATTAAAGTTAAATATATATATAAATGTGATAATTAAAATTTGTTTATTATTTTATATTTAAAATAACAGTTACTTTTTAAAATAGTAAAATCAATTATAATTATAAATTTTTTTATAAAGTACATCAGGAAAATTAATAAGGTGCAATATTATATAATATTATAGAATTTACATCTTCATTATAATATTATGTAATATTACATAATTTTACATGTGTAATTATACATCTTGTTAAAATACAAAAAAAAATTTGATTGTTTAAAAAAAATACTTCTTTTAATAAACAATCTATTTTCTTTAGTAAAAATTTTTGATTTATTTTAATTTATGAATAAAATTTTTCATTTTACATATTTTCATAAATAGAATATCCAATTTACATTATTATTTAACCAGTATAAGTCATTTGATCATTTGTTATTTATGAAATAACTATATTATAGATTAGCTAAAAATTGATTCCCTTATTATATCCTATATTATTTTTTTTTGATACAGTGTTAATCCTGTTTCTTTATTTTTCTATATATATATATTCTTATTATAACTCATTTTATTATTATTATTTTATTATTATATTAGTATTTCATATATGTGTTATCTTATCTATTTTTAGTTTAATATATTTATATTCTTGTATTACATTATCAGTATTTGTGTAACAGAAATAAAATATCTCAAATATGTAACATTACGTGATGCGAGATAAAATACCTCTGGTAGCTACCAGTAAAATACCTAGGTAAATTACCTCCAGCATTAATAATCATGCTAGAATGTTATGGAAACTTCCGGAGTTTTCTTGAAGTTGATAATTATAGTTTGTGATACGATCCTAATTTTGTATAAATAAAAGCTATTTCTGCTTCTCTTGAAGAAACAGTTGATATAGAATTGAATATTTTAATAACTCAAAATAAAAACATTGTTTATAAACTAATATCTTTCTTGGTGAATTATATAGTTTATATTGTAACTTTTTTGATGAAATCCTCTTGTTATTTACCTTGTTTTGTGATCTTAGTAATTCTTGTTATTATTACTCTTTTCTTGGTGATAAGAGTAATTGTTGATTAATAATACACTACTTTGTAATCTTGGTATTATAGTTACTTAATAATTAATCTTGCTTTATGATCTAGATTAAGTTATTAAATTTTTTATGAATTTGTTTAGTTTCTTGATAAAACTTTGTTATCTTTATGACTTGTAGTAATAGTAAATTTTTATAAATACTGGTTGAAAATTGATAAAACATATACATATCAGGTATCCGATATGTGCATGGTGTGTCCCTAATATCAGGCATATATCGGGTACCCAATAAGTGTAGAAAATATTTTATATATATATCGGGTACCCGATATATGCCTAATATTAGGGACACACCATGTACATATCGGATATCCAATATGTGTATGTTTTATCAATTTTCGACTAGTGAAAACCTCATACCCTTAGCTTCTTTCGACCAAATTCGCCTTACCTAAATCCTTCTTATCATTACTTTATCAATAGTAATACCCATCCGGCTATAGTTAATTGTTATAGTGTTTAAAGTCTATAAATACAATTTTCACTACCAGTCACTTAGTTTTCTTTAGTTTTTCTAAAAGATAAATCAAGGTTAACAATAGCAATTCTTTTATTATTTGTTATCATTAGTTAAATAAACTTTATTATACTGTAATATTGATCTTTTTTTCAAATAATAAAGTTT